GTGTGTGTGTGTGTGTGTGTGTGTGTGTGTGTGTGTGTGTGTGTGTGCGGTGGTGATGAGGGATTTGTAAAAGGAGGGTGTTTGTTCTTACACCTTTTCTGAGGAAAATTAAAAACACTGGAAAAAGCTTGGAATATACTGTGGGTTTATTCACTTGTTGTATAAAACCAAGACAAAAGAAACATTTTGCTAGCAGGCTTAATGGAAAACCTAAAGAGGAATTACAGTTTGTATTCCCTGTGTGGTTGCTTGTTTAATTGGTTGCTGCTGATGTAACTCTCAAAACTCTGCAGAGGTCAGAGAGAAACACACATCCACTGCTATGCAGATCGATGTTTTCATTGTGTTGCTGCAGCGCATGGTGACATATCGACTGCTGCAGGGATGACGTGTTCGTATAGGATAGACCAACCAGGAAGTTAGCATCGCACCGGTTCCCTCGACAAAAGAAAAACAATGGGATTTTTCCATTGGATAGCTAACAAGCACAACGAGGCTGTGAAGGCGGACTAGTCAGACATTTTGTAGACTTATTTAGCCACTTGTTAGCAACCGCCTTTTTTAAGACACGTAATAGCTTCACAAGAGGAATATTTACTGACATGTAAAAAAAACATTCCTGGTACATTACTTCTTTAATCTTCTGTATCTGTGCTGTCAATCAAAGACGTAAAAATCGTAGAATCTTTTCCTTGTATTTCTTATGAATGGTGTTCAGTGTTTTCCCATGTGATAAGCCTCAAATGTCATTGACTCAAACTAGACTGTCTGGATTCAAATGTACCTGAAACAACACACGTCTGCGAACATCACCCCCGTGTATTTTTTATTACGCTGGGACTTTTTTTTTTTTACAGTCTAAACACCTACTGACCTGTCTCAGCGGTCGACGCAGCACATGGTCACATTTTCTCCCGGCAAAGTGCAGCACTGGCCAATAAAATACATCTAAGCACACATTCCTGGTAGATTATTTGTTTTCTTGCATGCCGCGTTTCTAGTGTTTACGCGGCAATCACCTCAATGAAAGATTAAAATGCCATGACAACTTTCCAGAGTTGTAAAATCCTGCCTCATAAGATTACAAAACCGCAAAACTGTTTTCTTCACTTCAAACTCACGGATCTGTTAATCAAAATCCAACATGTGCCAGCGATGCCACCAAATGAACCAGATGACGCACACAGCACAACCACAACAAAAATACAATGGCAGACAGAGTCTCACAGACAATGATCTCTGACTCATATCAACACACACTCATAAAATGTCTAGTTTATGTGCGTGAGATAATACACGGTCTTAGTGTTCTTCCTAGAATTGACATGGATGTGTTTGGCGGCAGGGCCCGCCAAACTGTCTTCTGTCTCGATTTCCAGGTGATGTGGTGGTTCACGTTTACACCGATCTGTAGGGTTTCGCCTCTATCTTCACATTTTCAACTTGTTTTCGCTGCTGAATCAGTTTGACGTCCTGGATACATCCTTCAAACACATACTCAAGACCCTTTTTTCTGCTTCTCTCAGAAATCTCTTTTTTTGTTTTTCCAAAAGTAGCTCTGACAGTTTGACGGAGTTGTAGCGGGCGGTGGTCAAACACGACCACTTTAGAAAGAGTCACCCATATATGAAGGGTGTACATAATGTAACCTTGTTGCTTTACAAGCGGTTAAACAATAACTTACTAACGCTTTACAGATCAGTTGTGCAGAAAACAACTTCTGAGTTGCCAGGTTGTAAAAAAAACACTTTTTAGCTCTTTAATACATCAAGTAGAGCCCTCCATTCTATGATGGGAATGGTCAGAAACCAAAGTATTTGACGAATAACAATTTGGAGTTAATGAGTCACCAAAGGTCCTACACTTCATCCTGTGGTCAAAATTGCATGGAAAACAATTCTATAGTTTTGGAGGCATTTTGTATTAAACCACAAAAGTCGACATCATTGATTCATCATTATGCTTTGTTCACACAAATGTTGAGACCAGTTCAACTTTGATTTGTAGCGTGTCACGCCCGTCATAAAAGCGACAAGTGTCGGGCGTCAGTTCGAGCTTCGTGTCACCGGCCTCCATTGAAAATGACTTGAAGCCTGTTGCTGCATCACTAGTAGTGTGAATACAGCATTAGTCATCATGATTCATCTTCTGGGGAACATGAATGTCTGTACCACATTCAGACTAGAGGTAAACCACGCCACTAATGTGGCTAAAAAAATATCAAACACAAGCTTCTCAAATGTGAGGATTTGCTGTTTTTGGACTTTTCTCAATTTCCTGCTGTTTGAAGATTAAACACACAATTGGTCCCACATTAGTCAATAACGATCTTTAGTTGTGCGGGTTAAACCACAAAAAAAGATCAAATAGATTTATTCAACACTGCCTCCCTTTTTTCTATCCTATAGTGTAAGCGTAATAATGTGCTCTGTGATGTGCCGCTATTGTAAGCAATGAAAGGACTTTGCAAACTTCCTCAGAAGAACAGTCATGTCACGTCCTGCTCTGTCTCACACATACACGCCGTACACACACGACACACTGACACAGACAGGTGCACGACCCAAACAGTCAGGTTTGGTTGCGTCTCCCGCCATCCTCTCTGCC